TTAAGTGAACAAATTATTTACCTCGTTATTTTTAAGGAAAACTTTCAGTGCTCTAATTTTTTTTTTGTACTTGGCTTTCACCTTTACGCTTACGATGCTTTATGGAAAATATATTATAAAGAAATTAAAATAAGAATATTAAGAGTCAGATTAAATTTCATATTTTATAAGAAAGATATCTAATTAATTTATAGGTACCTTTCTTATGAAATTTTAACAGAAGTGTACATAAAATACTATTAATTTTATGTACATTTATTACATTTTACTGTGTTATTTGTATTTCCATTCATTTTATTATTAATTTTGATATTTCATTTATGGAAAAATGTCATAACTGAGATTAATATAAAAATAAGATCATATAAATTTCATAAGATGATACTGATACTTTTATGTACCCTCCTCAGTTGAAATTGAAAAATCAGATTAACTTCACATGTGTTTCGCAAAAATAAATCTATATCTCAAAATGACATTTACGAAACTGAATGCGGCTTTTAACTAATTTTGTAATATTTTAACTTAAATGTAAAAATCTATTATAATTAAAGAAATAACAAATAATTGTATTAAAAATTCAGTATTTAAGTTAAATACTAGACAGAAACTGATGGCACTGCCCCTCACCCTCGGCCCCTCGTTATATTTCTGACGTGAGCCTGTTTGACCTTTTCCTTTTTTAAATGACCTTTTTTTTATTGCACGCACGATACTTCGAGTATTCCGTAGATTTGATTTACAGTGTTATTATTGACACAAATTATATTTTTTTATATACTGTTGTTCGTTAGTTTGTAAAAAGCTTTGGAAATTACAATCTGTAAATATATATCTACTTAATAACAACATTTGTTAAATTTTACAAATTTTCCCCTAATTTTATAAGAATTAACAATATTTAATGTAAAAATAATAAAATATTTCAGAAATAAATGTTTTAAAAATTCATTTTTCATCGAAATATCTTTTTGCTTTCAGACAATATTGTCCATGTTCATTGAAATAATTAAAAGCTTTTGAAATTAAATATTTTTTTTTTTATTGAGTTTTATATGTTACAATTTAGAGATGATTTTCAGGTAGAGGTGATCCAACTAAAAATAAAACAAAACATGACATCGCTAAAAACAGAGCATAGCAGGATGAAAAAGACACCAAACTTGATGAAAACAAAATTTTATCATCTAAATGTTTATGTTATTAAGAGGAAAGACCAAAGTATTTTTTAATTATTTTTAAAATTTTTTCCTCCTTTTTAGAACATTCTAAATTTTGATTAAAAAATCTTGTTTCTCTTTGTATCACTGGAACTACTAAAATAACAAAAATCTTTAGCACATTTTTTTTTGTATGAAAGACATTTGGAAAATCTTGCAAAAATAAAAATAATTGTTGGATGTTAATGAAACTTTCAGAAACTATTCACAAATGATGGAAATTATTATAAAAATTTTTTTTTTTTTTTTAAAAGTCAAGGAAAAAATATTTTTTTTTAATATTAATCCCGCCCTAACTAATTTTATGAAAACTCTAGAAATTCCGTAGTGTTCAGTTTAGTGATTATATTAGTTAAAAGCACAAGGCTTTGAGGAAAGCAAATCATGTATTTTTTTAATTGGAGCCCCTCCTCCCACCTGAAAATCAGCTCTGAATTGTAACATACAAAACTCAATAAAACAAAGATATTATTTAATTTCAAATGCTTTTATTATTTAGTTTATGACTTGCTTTGTTTTATTTTCAAATTACATCTTTTTGGCACAGAAGCTAAGTTAAGCTTGGTTCAAAACATTTTAAATAAACATTATAATTTCTGATTTTCTTAAAATAAGTTTTGAAAAAGATGATCATCGATTTTTAAAAGAATTTCAAACTGAGATTTTCTTTTTTTTCTTCATAAAATGGAAAAAAATGGTTGCCATGATCGAATATCTGTCAATTTTATTGACAAAAAAAAAAAAAAAAAAAAAAAAGATTTTTAACGAAAATTTCGGACATGATAGAAACGATTAAAAAATGTAAAAAAAAAAAAAAAAATACCCCCAAATATTTTTGATCTTTCCTTTTAATAACAAACATTTAGACTGCTGAGAGTGAGATTAATTTTCATAAGAAAGGTATCTAATTAATTTATAGGTACCTTTCTTATGAAATTTTATCAGAAGTGTACATAAAATACTATAATTTTATGTACATTTATTATATTTTACTGTGTTATTTGTATTTCCATTCATTTTATTATTAATTTTGATATATCATTTATGGAAAAATGTCATAAAAAGGTATTAATACTTGTAAGTACACTTCTCAGTTGAAATTGAAAAAAAATCAAATTAACTTCTCTACATGTTTTGCAAAAATAAAGGCCTTAACAGTGGAGAACAATGCTTAACTCAAATAACACGACTTAATTGAGTTCTTACTGGTCTTCCGTACTTTATAATTAAAGCCGTATTATAAACACAAAATTACATTTCTTAATCACTGTCTTCTGATTGGTCCAAATTATGCAATTTACGATGTGCTAAAAAATGATCTATCTCATAAGGTTATTTACGAAACTGAATGCGGCTTTTAACTAATTTTATAATATTTTAACAACTTAAATGTAAAAATCTATTATAATTAAAGAAATAACAAGTAATTGTATTAAAAATTCATTTTTCATTGAAAAAATCTTTTGCTTTCAGAAAATATTGTCCATATTCATAAAAGCAAATAAAAGCATTTGAAATTAAATAATATCTTTGTCTTATTAAGTTTTGTATGTTACAATACAGAGCTGATTTTCAGGTAGTGCAGATCCAATTAAAAAAACAAAAACAAAAAACAACATGATTTGCATTCCTCAAAGCCTTGTGATTTTTTAACTATTGTAATTACTAAAGTGCACTCGATCAAATTTCTGGAGCTTTCATAAAATTAGTTGGGGTGGGGGGTAATAAATATAAAAAAAATATTTCTGCCATAGCTTTAATAAAACAAAACAGGGCTTTTTTTGGGGGGGGGGGCAGTGCCGTCAGAATTCATTTTTGTTCTCTTCTTCGCGGAAAAATGACAATTTTTTTTTAAGGTCAACCAAAGAAAGCTGTTTCTTGAACACCAAATTGAGGTCTGATGCACTTTTATTATTTACGAATTTTGAGATTTTAGACCATAAATGTTAAACTATATTTCGGTTCTTACTGAAAGAAAAAGATCAGTTGAAATAAATTATATGGCGTTTGGAACGCTATTTTTATTTGTTTCATTCCAAATGCATTACTTAAATGGCTTAGAATACGAGTCTCGTTAAAAAAAATGCGTGCGATATAAGGGAGATAATTAAGTGCTTATCGTTTGAAGCGCCGAAAACGACTTTACCTACTCTATAATAAATAAATAAAAAGCATATATACATTTAGTAGTGAGACTGAAACTAAAAACAAACGAAACTACTGCTAAATAATGGTAGTTACGAAAATTGACGTTTTCCGTAAAACATTCCAGCCAAGTATGAGAATTCCTTTTGTGATTTGATGTTCATAAAGATTAAAGAACAAGGTGAGATAACTTTACTATATAACAGTGCAAGGCACGGGAAAATACTCCAGAAGTTGATTGAAAGATATAATTAAAAAAAAAAAAGAAAAAGAAAAAAAAGGGGCCTAAAAAATGTTTTGAACTGCGTAAAAAAAACCCAGGTGATGATGCTACCCACAAGAAACAGGGGATGGAATAATGCGCCATCTGATAGGTAAAAAGAATAACAAACTATTCAAGGGGAATAATGCCAGTACCAATTTGACAGGTGAATAAAAAATATTTCAGCGCGTTAATAACTTAATTCTTGCGTACAGATTTGGGAATATTGCTATCATTTTTAGAACGCTTGAATTAAAAACATTTTACGAATGCCTCTTTTCATCTCAAAGAGAAAATAAAGTAAATATTTTTCCAGTTTCAGAAGTCGTCATAAATTTTCTTTACATCTTGTCATGATACACTACTCGATCATAACACCAACACAGGCAATTTTGACAGTTCTTAAGCAGTTAAAAATCACATGGAACAATGCGCGCAGCCATATTTATTGTTGTACCCATAATGCTTTGGTAACTAAACCAAATCTGTCAATCATTTTAAAATAAGTCATCAGGCATCGGAATTTAAGTTTTGCAGAAAATTTTTAAAAAATGTTTTTATCGAAATAATTTAACGGATCACCTTTGTAAATTAATCAATCAATTTCATCGTCAGTACAAAACTCAAGGATTAATGACATCAACAAAGTTATTGCGTCGCAGGCGAATTCCTGTTTTTACCACACTTCTTAATTTACCAATTTTAAAACTTCATCAAAAAAACAAGATACTGAATGATATAATCAAAAACTGTTTGAATAATACTGAATACGATATTGTCATTGGCATGAAGATATATTCTGTTATTAATTTCTTAAATTTCATTGGAGTTTCGGTTTCAGAAAATAATTTTATTACAGACTATGAATTCAGAACAAATAAATAAATGAATTACTTTTATCTTACTTACAAAAATCAATTCGATAGCATTATTAATCAATAAATTAGTTTTTTTACACATTTGTTTGAGAATAGTAATATCCGAGATGATTCAAATCGACGAAAAATATCACTCCCTAATCTTCAACGCAAAAAGCTTGTATATCTTTAAAGTGAAATTAGATATTCGAGTTCTGATTAAAAACAAATATTTAACAGAGTTTATATTTGAATATAAAATTGTCAACTAAAGCATGAACAATACAGAGGTAGATTATCGCATACAACTGATGTACAAATGAGACGTAAAGTCCGACTCAGAAAACATGGCCGTTCAAACTGAGAATCCCAATCGGAGTAAATATTAATACACGTTGAGTAATTACAAAATCGTTTTATTTTCTCTTAATATTTAACTCTTACTTGGCTTAGCAGACGATTACTGTTCTTCGTGATAGCACAAAAAAAAATGAATTATATAAAAACTAAACCTACCTCTAACAGTCGAAGATAATAACAGCACTATACACGCTTCTCCAGACCAAACTTTCACGGCTGACGTCACAACAAATCTCCCTGCGCAGTGAACAACGGAAATGACCGAATGCAAAAAAAAAGTAAAAAGAAACGTTGCTTACTTCAGTTAATAATACGGAATCCTAGATTGGCCATAAATCTCAGTGCGACTTCAATGTTCATTTTTATTTATTTATTTTATATTCTTGAAAATCTTTAATCAACTGTTCTCAGTAAGTTTCTTACTTTAAATAGTTAAATATTTAAAAGGATATTTTATTAGTAATAGGTTATCCTGGAAAAATATAAAAGTAAAAAGCTAAAAACTAAAAAAAAAAGTAACAAAAAAACGTATTGTTGATATAAGTTATGAAAATATTTTGTGGTTGTTTCATTTTTTCATTGTAATTTTAAACTTGTCATGAATTTACTCAAAGTAGTAGAATTTAACAATCTTGAAATGTATTTTTTAGTCATTTTATCCAAATTTAAACAAAATGACACACACGCACACACAACTCCTCACACTCACAGTCATGCATGAAATCATGCAATGTTTGATCTCTACTCTTTAAATTTTTTCTTCATTGATAATTTGCCAGTTTAATTAATATGGAAAACTCTATACACAGTAAATGTCTTGATTTAAGTATTGATGAATAATTTATGTTAAGAAAATTATAAAAAACATATTATTCAGCAGCTTTTACAAATTTATCAGGTTTCATTTAATTCCTATTGATTAGAAATTGTAAAATAAATGTTTTAGTTTTACTGAATGTATTATCTTATTAATACTATAGGACAGGTTAGACTAAAGATGAATGCTCATGGAATTAATCTATAAGCATTTACAATAGTAAAATTAAATCATATTGAGCATAAAAATAATGAATAAAATATAAAATTATTTAAATGTTTACTGCTTATAAAAAGTAATTTATTATCAGTTATATAAGTAAAAAAGATTTATATAGAGAAATGTACACTTAATGCAATCATTAAAGATAATTTTTGGGAAATAGGTAAGGTAAGTTTTACATAGGTAAATTTTAAATGTGATAGAATTTAATACAAGTCTTTCATTTCATTGATGTCTACTTACAAATTAACAGACATTTTTAAAGCTTATTTAGTTTCATTTTAAGTCAAAAGATTTGCACAAAATATACTAATGATGTCTTTCTAGTATTTTCAATTTGAATATGATGTACTATAATATTGGCAAAGTACTATCCTTAATTTGAAATATTCTTTAAATATTCTTTAATGTGCTTAATTCTAAGCTGTTTAGTTTAATTTTTATCATATATTTAAGACCATATGAGTACATTAAATACTGAGAAACTTGTATTTTTTAACATTTAAAGCAGAAAACAATAAGTAACAAATTTGAGTTATTTTTATCTTACTTTAGAAATGATAAAATGTATCAAATTTCCAGATAATTATTATACTATTTCTATAACAAACTATTATATATAATCCCCTTAAAATTTATTTACAATGTTTTCTAACATAATATCAGAGTAACATAAAAATACCTGCTAATTTTTCTTTTTTAATTACATAATATGTCAGTACTACACTGGAAAAGACTTAAATCATACATTTATTCCCATTTCATGATATTGCTTATCTGATTTCTATGGCTTTTGTCATAAACAAAAGTTTTAAGAAAATATCCATTAAAACTTAAAAGATGAATATTTGATATAATACAGTAAGTTTTGACTTATATAGTTGTGACAATGCTTTTAAATTTTCATTATCTGACTCTAAAATATATTTTCTTAAAACAGTGAAAGCTGAAATTAAAAAAAATCCTCATGTGCCTTTAATGATAGTAAAGCAAGCTTCAGTTAAATTTTATGGGCACTGTTAGAGATGGATCGTCTCCCCTTTACCACTCCCTCTCACTACCACAGGGACAGTGACCCTTAGCCAATCAGCATCAAGTTTGTTTAACCACTACTAACACGACAGTTGCAATAAAGATGTCTTAATGTTCACACGTGTTCTTGTCAGTCTTATGGATACTAGCAGTAGAGCCCGGCGTTGCCCGGGGATATAACAGTAAGAGATAGATCAAGTATCCACCATCATAAAGACTGAAAAATAAAATTGACAAAGATTATTGTTTAAGGTTGACGGACACGCATGTCTTAATTATTTTTATTTTTTTTTTACGAATTGGTCAAACCTAAACTCAAACAAAAACATTGTTTTCAATCGTTATGAGTCTACTGATTGAATAGAATTTTATTATAAACAATTGTCTTGTAAATGGAATTTTAAAGCATTCTGAATGTAAAAATAAAAAAAAAAAGTGTGCAAGACAATAAGAAACACTACATGCCAAAAAAAAAAAAAAGTGAAGTTTTGTTGAAATCGGTTGAAAAATGTAGGTAGCCTTTCTGTAATTTTTTAGTTTTACAATTTATGATTTTACTTATTGAATACAGTAATAAAAATTGCATATTTTGCTTGTGGTGATTCATAATTAGAATTCTGATTTGAATATATTTTCCACTCGTTGTTTTAATAATAAAAAAATATTAACTTTATTTGGGTTTATTAATTATGATCTAACAAATCTTATTCATTTAGTAGCCTTTCTGTAATAATAATCTTTTAAAATTTATGATTTTTACTTATTGAATACAGTAAAAAAATTGGACACCATGTGTATTTAAAGTAGTTTCCCGTTCGGTTATTATTTTTAGTTAGGACTTGTGTATGTTTAGATTTCATTATCTTTCCCTAAAGATAAAGAATTTATTCGATGTTTGTATTCGCACAATCAGTAGAGATCGTTAGATTATTGTTTAAGGTTGACGGACCTATGTCTTAATTTTTTTTTTTTTTTTAGGAATTGGTCAAACCCAAACTCAAACAAAAACATTGTTTTCAATCGTTATGAGTCTCCGATTGAATAGAATTTTATAAACAATTGTCTTGTAAATGGAATTTTAAAGCATTCTGAATGTTAAAAATAAAGAAAAAAAAGTGTGCAAGGGAATAAGAAACACTACCTGCCAAAAAAAAAAAGTGAAGTTTTGTTTTATCGGCTGAAAAATATAGGAAATCCGCTCCCATATTTAAAGGAACCCACATACACAAACAACCCAATGTGAGTTGTCCCCCTTCCATTTTCACGATGTCTCTTAATCGTGTTTTCAAATTGATTTTGTGCAAAAACAATTATATTTTTTCCATTTTTGGCACTGTTAGAACCACCATAAGGTAATTTTATGTAGTCCTGTGAAGTTTTGTTGAAATAGGTTGAAAAATGTAGGAAATCCGATCCAATATATAAACGTTACAGACACACACACACACACACACACACAATCTGCGTTTTATAATAAGTAAGATGTCTTATCCTACATATATACCCACACAATATAAAAGGCACCAATTCCAGAAATAGGATTTAATAATTAAAATTGAAATTGTATATTAAATGTAACATTTTTTTGTTGTTGATTTTACTTTGTTCAATTGGACAGGGCCAGTTCATGATTATACTGACTAGTGATTTGTCAATTCAAAAAGAAAACTGGATCAAACATGTTATTGTGAGCCTGGAAGAATTACATTTGTACTTTTTATTAAATATTATGATAACCAGATGAATTAACAAAAAATAATATTTTTAGTTCAATAGACAGTAAATGCAAATTATGATTTGGTTATTCTTTTGCGTTACTTTGTAAGGATTTGAAGAAAAGGAATAAACTTGACCTAAGTTCTATTTAGAATATCTATCATAGCCACTGAGAAAATACTAAAAATTGATTTTGATGATTTCTTTCTATAATCTAGTATTTGTTATTAGACTTGAAAACTGAACATTAAATTCCTTCAATCTTTTTAGAAATAAAAAAACATGCAAATAACTATTTGCTGTATATTTACTTATATCAAGTAAAAGTGCTTTGAAAATAGGTTACTTTTTTGCATCATTGAAAACTTTATTAGTTTTGTTTATAATCTATATAATATTTAATTATATAATAGATAAATAATAGTTCAGAAGACTTCTCTTCCAACTTCAAGTTTCAGAGATACACTGCTTGTGCGAACATGCTTACGCATGAACATATACATACAAACACAAAATCATATGTACAATGCCAAACGATCATTGGCTAATAAATCACTAATACATTTTCTACAGACAATTTACAAATCACAGTAATGCAACAATTTACAAATTGTTTTATTTTTTAAGTAGTCAAATTTGTGCACTTTTGGGAGAAGTGGCTCACAGAAGTTTCTTTAAGTCTCCCCAAAGCTTGCTCGCTGATTGATTGATGCCAGCCAATCAGATCGTTTGCATGTGAAGAATAATTTTTCCTGTGCAATGAATCGGAGCCTGTAGTTGCTTATTTAAGCCAAGATTTTTCTCATCTCAATTAGTGAGACTTCAACTGCTAAACAAATCTACGACAGTTGGAACTCCAGTTCTAATCATGCGCCAACCTTCTCACTAACACGCACACCCACATGCTGATGATAATTTGTACACCTTCACTAAAAACTTCTTTTGACACAACAATACTTTTCAACAGTGATATCACAAGAACAATCATATCATGAAACACTCATGAATATTTATCCAGTAAACTTTAAACCAAATAATTATCTCTCAATGAACTCTTAAATTGCAGTCAAAGAGAGGCAACTCTTGGTTAATTCAACCTTTCTTAAATGCATGTTTTCTTTCACATCGTTGTTTGATATTGTACATCTTGTTAATATACATATATTTTATGTGCAACAATGTCTTGTGGTTATTCTTCTTGCATGAGTCCTGTTTTCTTATCTTATCTTTCTTAATGTGGTGAAGTTGCCCACATGCTCATCAGGGTAAGTAATGTATGTCTTTTGAACTATTATTTATCTATTAACTATTTTTGCTCTATTTTTTTAATATTGTAGAATCTAGCTTCTATATTTAGTTTTCATAACCCATTAAAAGTGGATCATATCAAAAATCTGTAACTAATGAAAATAATCCATTAAAACCAGCTCTACAGGAAATTTTCTGAGAACTTTTTTTGATTGGTTTATAAATTCATATTTTTGAGTGTTTTCAATTATGTATGCACGAATCATTCTAGTTCGTGACTTAGATACAATTTGGCACCAAGTCGTTTGAAGCCAATGTGATCCAAAAGTCAATAAATACAATATTCCATCTTTGCCAGTGAGCAAGTGACCAGCAATCAATCCATATCACACAATTCTCAGGTTTAAAATTATTCCTTAATCCCAGCCTGAAGAAAGAACACTCACTCACTCACACAGCAAACATCATTCATATTTGTCAATGAGCTCTTTAACACTTAAATAACACATCTTTGCCAGTGAGCAGTGACCAACAAATCCACGTCACTCATTTTTTCAAGCTTTAAGTTGATTTCTTAATATTCCCAGCCAGTGAAAAGATGCTCACTCACTCACACAGCAAACATCATCTATTCTTGCCAGTGAGTTCTTTGAAGTTTTATCCATTTCAACACTTGATATAGCA